TGATCTTAAAATAACACTCTGAATTACTGTTACTATTATTATTACCATTACTACTATGATTATTACTATTAGAATTAAAATGACTATTACTATGATTTTTACATTTATTATAATAATAATTATTATTATTATTAATACTATTTGTACTATTAATATTATTACAACTACTGTCATTACAAATATTATTACTACTACTATTATTACTATAATTATTATATTACTATTACTATTATTATGATTACTACTACTACTATTATTACTAATATTATTATTATTAATGGTGTGTATCACATATATGTGATACATATATCACATATATGTGATACATATATGTGATATATGTATCACATATATGTGATATATGTATCACATATATGTGATACATATATCACATATATATGATACAAATATGTGATATATGTATCATATATATGTGATACATATATCACATATATGTGATATATGTATCACATATATATGATACATATATCACATATATATGATACATATATATGTGATACATATATATGTATCATATATATGTATCACATATATATGATACATATATATGTGATACATATATATGATATATGTATCATATATATGTATCACATATATATGATACATATATCATATATATGTATCATATATATGTATCATATATATGATACATATATATGATACATATATATGTATCATATATATGATACATATATATGTATCATATATATGATACATATATATGTATCACATATATATGATACATATATATGTATCACATATATATGTATCATATATATGTATCATATATATGTATCACATATATATGATACATATATATGTGATACATATATATGTATCATATATATGTGATATATGTATCATATATATGTGATACATATATCACATATATGTGATATATGTATCACATATATATGATACATATATCACATATATATGATACATATATATGTGATACATATATATGTATCATATATATGTATCACATATATATGATACATATATATGTATCACATATATATGTATCATATATATGTATCATATATATGTATCACATATATATGATACATATATCATATATATGTATCATATATATGTATCATATATATGATACATATATATGATACATATATATGTATCATATATATGATACATATATATGTATCATATATATGATACATATATATGTATCACATATATATGATACATATATATGTATCACATATATATGTATCATATATATGTATCATATATATGATACATATATATGATACATATATGTGATATATGTATCATATATATGTGATACATATATCACATATATGTGATACATATATGTGATATATGTATCACATATTTGTGATACATATATCACTTGGGGGGTGGGGGTAGGGGTGGGGTGTGTGTGTGTGGGTCTTTCATGTCTTACTGCTTCGGTGTTAGGTCCAGTTGTTTGGTCAGTGCTGTCTGGGTTTATATATGAACAATTGCTTGCTTAACTAGCATCAAGGTGAGCTGTAGCTACCTGGCTCCTCACCATGTCACCACTGTCTTGTAGCAGATGGCAGGCCCCTTTCAGAACTTCTTCAGGAACTCTAGTTTTCATTATTATGGGACTTTTCCTCATCAGGCTTTAATAAACTCAGACATTAACTGACTGACTCTTCCATCAACCCTAACACACAATCAGATTCTTTATCTTCATTTAACACTTAGCCTGTTGCCTGGCAACAAGAGATCCCGTCACAACTGTGACAACTGTTTCATTAAGGGAGCCAGGAAAATACAGCAGCTGTGTGTGTGTTTGTGCGTGCATGACTGTGTGTGTGTGTGTGTGTGTATGTGTGTGTGTGTGTGTGAGTGAGATGAACAGGTGCAGGTCCACAGAGGGAGGGCTGTTTTTGGGACTCGGTTCAACCACAGACTCGGAGCTCCTGCTGCAGAAACATAATCAGTCAGATTTATAATCTGCTGCTGACTGAGCGTTTTAGAGACCTAACTCGTAGCCATGTTTTATGTTTTTTGGCGTTTCCTCATGGAAAACACCCAAAGAGGTTTGCAGAGTCATGCATGCTTTTTCCTCTCTCAGCTGCACATCATCTGCTGTCTGCCCGGAGGCAGCAACAGCCTGAGTATGGGGGATGGTTGCATCATCATGCTCCGCTCTTCCCTATAGAGCTCCAGATATCACGTGATTCTCAGAGCGTAGGCGCCATGATGGCAGGCACCACTGTAAACAAAAAGAACGGAACCGGCATGGATTTTAATTTACTTTGCATTTTAAAAACGAAGATATAGTTTTATGTACTCAGAATTAGAATAGACTAAACATCTTCCACCCTTACCATGCCCCTGCGATACTTTTTAAAACTCCAAAAGCTGTCGGATATTTGAAATTTCCTTATTAGTTTCCCCTCGTCCTACTCCAGAGCATCGCAAAGAACATACGAAAGCCAGGAGGGATACAAATGGATCAGTCAGGGTTACGTAAACAGCAGCGTGCAGAAATCACGAGTGATTAGGCAAAGTTTTACGTGATGTTTACTTGTTGCTACGAGCAACAAGACAGAAAAGTTATGCCAAAATAAGTTTAGGAAGCCGCCTAAGAATCGTAATAAAAGCATGTAAAAAATACCACATACAGCTGAGGAAACATTGGTTTAACTACCTGATATGAAGCGGTTGCTGCGTAATTAAAGTCTTTGCTCCTGGGATCCCAGTTTCATTTTAGCCTGGTCTCTAGTGCGTTTTACTGCCATGAGCCAATGTTTGCTGGTGCTGGATGTTGGAGAATTGGGCTCTTCCCTTATCTCGTCCGTGTCTCTTATGGCATCCTGGGGTACAACAGGTATCTACCACATTTCCCGTTTCTAGTTTGGGTATTCTGCAAATAACAATAGCCTAACTGCGGACAACTGCCTGCCAAGTTGGTGCCATTCAATTTGTACCGTCATGCCGGGAGAAGTGCCGACAACTCCCGGAGCTCTATTCAGGTAGTTCCTCAAGTCTGGTTGCCGCCTCCCCAGGACTGCAAACACTAACACCCGGTCTCTCTGTGTAGCTAGCAGGGAGTTTATTCTCCCCAGTTGTGAAAAAAGTTATTTCTTTATCTAGTCTGCACTTTGAATAATGCCTAGAAGCCACATATGGATTTTGTCTGTGAGATGAACAGGATCCCTGCCCAGCATTCCTTAAGAATTGGCAGAAACGGTTGGATTTTATCTTCAGGCGCTCTAAAACGCTACGCCAGAACGTGACCGTGATTTCACAGACTGCTTCTTGAACCACCGCCAGTCCCAGAGTGGGTTTTCAAATGGATAACTTCTTCAAACTGGTGATATATCCAACCACCCGACGGGGAGGCCACGGTAATGAGTACAACCAAAATGCTAATTGCTAACCGTTAGCTGAGTGGTTATAAAGTTTTGTGGGTGAGCGACAGGGACGAACCGGGAAAATGATTCAGGCCAGGAATCTGCTACCATCTCAGCCGACTCTTCTACGTTTGAGTGGTGTGTGAGTGAGTGAGTGAGTGAGTGAGTGAGTGAGTGAGTGGTGTGTGAGTGAGTGAGTGAGTGAGTGAGTGAGTGAGTGAGTGGTGTGTGAGTGAGTGAGTGAGTGAGTGAGTGAGTGAGTGAGTGGTGTGTGAGTGAGTGAGTGGTGTGTGAGTGAGTGAGTGAGTGGTGAGTGAGTGAGTGAGTGAGTGAGTGAGTGGTGAGTGAGTGAGTGAGTGAGTGAGTGGTGTGTGAGTGAGTGAGTGAGTGGTGTGTGAGTGAGTGAGTGGTGAGTGAGTGAGTGAGTGAGTGAGTGAGTGAGTGAGTGAGTGAGTGAGTGAGTGGTGAGTGAGTGAGTGAGTGAGTGAGTGGTGAGTGAGTGAGTGAGTGAGTGAGTGAGTGAGTGGTGTGTGAGTGAGTGAGTGAGTGAGTGGTGAGTGGTGTGTGAGTGAGTGAGTGAGTGAGTGAGTGAGTGGTGTGTGAGTGAGTGAGTGAGTGAGTGAGTGAGTGAGTGAGTGGTGTGTGAGTGAGTGAGTGAGTGAGTGAGTGAGTGAGTGGTGAGTGAGTGAGTGAGTGAGTGAGTGAGTGAGTGAGTGAGTGAGTGGTGAGTGAGTGAGTGAGTGAGTGAGTGAGTGGTGAGTGAGTGAGTGGTGAGTGAGTGAGTGAGTGAGTGAGTGAGTGGTGTGTGAGTGAGTGAGTGAGTGAGTGAGTGGTGAGTGAGTGAGTGAGTGAGTGAGTGAGTGAGTGAGTGAGTGAGTGAGTGGTGTGTGAGTGAGTGAGTGAGTGAGTGAGTGAGTGAGTGAGTGAGTGAGTGAGTGAGTGAGTGAGTGAGTGAGTGGTGTGTGAGTGAGTGAGTGAGTGAGTGAGTGAGTGAGTGAGTGAGTGGTGTGTGAGTGAGTGAGTGAGTGAGTGAGTGAGTGAGTGAGTGAGTGAGTGGTGTGTGAGTGAGTGAGTGAGTGAGTGAGTGAGTGAGTGAGTGGTGTGTGAGTGAGTGAGTGAGTGAGTGAGTGGTGAGTGAGTGAGTGAGTGAGTGAGTGAGTGAGTGTGTGAGTGAGTGAGTGAGTGAGTGGTGTGTGAGTGAGTGAGTGGTGTGTGAGTGAGTGAGTGAGTGAGTGAGTGGTGAGTGAGTGAGTGAGTGAGTGAGTGAGTGAGTGAGTGAGTGAGTGAGTGAGTGAGTGGTGTGTGAGTGAGTGAGTGAGTGAGTGAGTGAGTGGTGAGTGAGTGAGTGAGTGAGTGAGTGAGTGAGTGAGTGAGTGGTGTGTGAGTGAGTGAGTGAGTGAGTGAGTGAGTGAGTGAGTGGTGAGTGAGTGAGTGAGTGAGTGAGTGAGTGGTGTGTGAGTGAGTGAGTGAGTGAGTGAGTGAGTGAGTGGTGTGTGAGTGAGTGAGTGAGTGAGTGAGTGGTGAGTGAGTGAGTGAGTGAGTGAGTGAGTGTGTGAGTGAGTGAGTGAGTGAGTGAGTGGTGTGTGAGTGAGTGAGTGAGTGAGT